ATAGCCCAACATTGCGGCGTATCTTCTGTAATATCTGGGCGTGATCCATCGCATATATTAAACATAAGATGCGCATCGTATGCCAGATCGCAAAAGGGACGACGTCCAGATGTAAGTTCCCACATAACCATTCCCAAACTATAGATATCTGAATTAAATGAATATTGTTTTTTGCTGAATACCTCAGGTGCGAGATATGGCATAATCCCATATATTTTAGGCTCTGAATTTTCCAGATCTTCTTTTGCTGGTCGACTAAATCCTAAATCTGCAATAAAGGATTCAGAGTCAGAACCATTTCTCTTCGTTTTACCTATTAATATATTTCCGCCGTGTATATCGCGGTGTATGATTTTATTTTCATGAACCCATTTAAATGCCTGTAACAATATTCCTAAGAAGGTTTAGTTTCATTTTCCAAGTAATATTTTTAAAATTATTTGATAAATATTCATTTAAACTTCCATGAGACATATAGGACATAACAAATATATAATTATTCGTATCTGGATATTGTGACACTCCATAACATTGAACAATTTGACATCCGTGGAATTAGGCTGACTTTCGGCAATATTTTGTAACTACATAAAAAACGATAAATTTATAATCTATTAATATTAGATTTTATGATTAAATTTATTTGTTTATATCCATACCTCTTTTAAGAATGCAGAATCAATATTAGAGGAATCTTTAAGAACTTTTAACACAACTGTTGCATTTTTATTCCGTTTAAATTTTTTTTTTGAGGACACTTTAATGTTCCTTTTATCCATGTAGCAGTATAGACTTCACTAAAACCACCTGTTCCGATTCGCTTTATGTTTACAAAGTCACTGAATTGGATCCACTCTAATCTATATTTAAGTTTAAAGTTTTTGCTATGCGTTGCCTTAATTAAATTGTCAATATCTTGATTTCCGCTAAAATTCAGAAATTGTCGTGTATAATAACAAACAGTACATAATTTCTTGTTCTTATATTTAAGGTTTACTTTTCCATTACAGTTGGTGCATTTAGAATTGCAACTAGTGCATAGTTTATTAGGTTTAAGTTTTCGATTTTTACCACAGTCTACGCATTTATCTCTATTGTGCTCCATGATTAAAATTTATTTTATCTGTTCTAATTATTGTATCTGGAAAGTGAAGAGCCGTCACAATATTTAAAGCTTAATATTTTACATGTAAAGGCTCTCTATAATTGTAGCAAAAATCTTCTTATACGGTATAAAATTAGAAAACGATATTATGTGTAATAATTAAAATAATAATGGATGCGATGTACCATAAAAAATCAAGTTAATTGAAAATGAAATCGCAGTATTGTAAAAGTTAAATTTGCCCTTTATTTGATGAAAATATAAAGATATTTATTCATTTTTAAAGAATAGCTTCGAGTCTTTCTTCATGTCCATATCGAATGTGTCATTTTCCCAATAGAAGTTTCTAATCGCCACATGCTTTTGTTTTGTATTACAATCTAAGTTCTAGAATTTATAATATTGGTAGTGTTACGAATCGAATATTAACGTTAATGTTAACGTTAACGTTGACACAAGACGGAAAAAGAGTATACTTGGCAAATGATTTGACGATCATTGATCAATAATTTCAAATTGCAAACCTTAATTGGTAGTACTCGTGTAGCTTAAGAAATAATCAATATCGTTATACTTATTAAGTTTGTGGATTAAATGATACAATGCGAATGTGATATTATTGTTAACTCCATTGCGTGATTATGTTGGCGACGTCAACAACTTATTGATTCCGACTCGGTAAATTATCGATTCGGTCACAAAAAAATTTTCAGATGTCCCCAAAAATAATGAAATTTTTATAGTTTTCGAAATTTGACCCGGCCGTGTTACTAGAACCAATTACAGCTGTTTTCATAATTCCTGGGACACCTGATAAAATTTGCAGAATAATTTTTCGGCTGATCTTTTTATTCAGTGTCATATTATTTTAACGTTATCGTTATTTTATGTATTTCTTATTTGGGCATGGTTGGGTGATTTTAACTCTCAGCGAGTGATCAAAACCCCATACAAATTAAAGATATATAAGGGTGTAGTTTAGTTTATGAGAGGAATAATGGTGTTCAATAGTATTTAGTATTATTATTATATCCGTTATGTATTATGTTAATAAAGAGAAGCTTTATATCTGTAATTATGTGTGTTAGTTTATCGATTTAAATCATGACTTTAATCACTATTTGTTCACAATCGAAGCTAGATTAAGATCAGGTAACTAATATAAAATATTATAAAACCGCGCATATTTCTGGTGGAATACAAAAATATGTAATAGGTCTTCTCTCAAGCACTCTCAAGGATATGGATGTATTAAAAAACTTCAATCACTTTTAGGAAAACGAATATAAACGATATAAAATATGTAGACAAATTAATTATCTAACTTTTTAAATATTTGCACCTATTCGTAAGTTTATTTTGTATCCGGAGCCTTTTTTTATATTTCTTACAAGATTTATTGGTTGAAAAGAACAGCCTTTTCCATAAACTTTGACGCAAACTAAACACATCAAACGCTCTGTTAGGCAAACATTCAACTGAAATTTAATAATGTTGAATGTATCGACATTATGTTAAAATTATCTATAGAATAAGTATGATATTACATATTTTTATATACTGATCATGCCGAAATCAATAACTTAACCGGATCGGCCGAAAAGTCACTCGGCTAATTTTTATCAGGTGTCCAGGATTTATGAAACAGTTGTAATTAACTTTATGGCCTTATCTTCACAATTATTAATAGATAGTTATTTAAGTAGTGAATGTAAAAATATAATCCATATTAAGGATGTTGTTCTAGGATAATAATGTTTTTGAGTGAATTCATCAAAAGGAAGTTTCGAAAAAATTTTTTCGTTCCAAGAGTATTATAGTGACGACATCATAGCTTATTTATGGCACAACGGAATGAAATTTTCTATCTTATATGT